ATTTTTACATAAAGATTGATTTCACAAGAGAATAGTGTAAATGGCTAGATTTTTATGTGTACACTTTGCTTTTCAGGTTGTTTAATCCCTGAATTTGTTAGTATTGACATTTAACATCCAACTCAATGCATGGTCAGAAATCAGCAGTCCGTAAGCGTTTCTCATTTTATTCTAGTTTCTCAAGGAATAAGCACTGAATCATTGCTCATGAAAATCCTGACAATCGTTGCTTGATTTTGAAAATCAAATTGATATTTCATGGAACAACTGATGCTTGTGTTCAATTCCCCTAAGCTGTGTCTTTTGCTCTGAATCTTGCCGGCTCTTCATCTCTGACTAACAGGGCCAAAGCACACAATGGACTGGTGATATTATTTAGATTTATCATTTTTGCTGGAATATTGCTTATATCCTGTTTCTTTTCTTTGCACTCTTGATTTGGAAGCAAATACAACATTCTTTGTCTAATAGTGTCAGTTAATTCATTCATATTCTTAAACTGGTGCTTAATTCTTGTTTTCCCTGAATTTCCCTTTTGCTTTTATGTAACGTACACTCACAAAGACTTCACTTTTCTTGCATTCACTGTTATATTGACTTTTATGTACGTTTTAATAATAAAATGTTTTAAGAGCATCAGTTTTTGCACTGCCTTTGTTTCTTTTGTAAAGAATTGTTTTATTTCACGTCAAATCTATTTTTAAACAAAACAAAAGAACATCTAAACTGATTCGACAGATGATTCTTTTAATTGATGAAGAGCTAATGACATGCTCAAGCATAGTCCGTAATTGTGACTTGTATCAAGAACACAAGGAAAAGTAAGTTTAAAAACAATCCGTTTTTGTCAGCTCATCTGTCATATGATTTACAACTCTTGACAGAACCATAGGCTTCATCCTTGTATGTGGCTTGCACTGAAGCAGAGAGCAGACAAGATAACAATCTTGCCCCCTGCAACCCATTCGATTACAATGTTTAAAGCCAAAAGCCCATAATGACGCTGTACTGCCTTATTGAGGTGTTGGATGTTTATATTATAGTAACAGCAGAAAATCTCAGTTGCTGTTTTTGCTCGCATTCTTGCATGTTCCTCATGCCGGATCTTGGTTTCTCGGGCGGGACAGGACAGGACTGGGCTGGGCTGAGCAGATTTGGGATGATGGGGTTCGAAGGGTTGGATGAGTATCAACAGTGGAAGCTGGGGCATTAACTCTCCTCCCCTGATGACAGGCCCTCAATCTCATCCTGGTCTCCACCAATAGCCATCCAGAATGCTTTAGCAACCTGTTTGAGGGTAAATCTACTGTTAGTTCAAGTTTCGGATTTGAAAAAGTATTAACATTAGTGTTAATTACAGAATACTACCTTCTCTGCATGCACTTTCCTCTGTTCATGTGGCAACGAAGAGGCCTTGTCTACAAGAAATTTAAGAATAGTGAATACTATTTGTAAAAAAAAAAAAAAAACAGGCCTTCAATTGAATTTAATGTTTCAATTTAACATATGCATACAGTAAATACATATACATTTCAATAATATATATACTGTATATATATATATATATATATATATATATACAATTTGAGATCAGCAAGTTATTTTTTAAAAAAAGAAATTAATACTTTTATTTAGCAAGGACAAATTAAATTGTATAAACAAATTACAACATTTACAATAATAATAATTTTAAGCACCAAGTCAGACTAGAGTAATGGCCAGCTTTACCATTTACAGGAATAAATTACATTGCTAAACATATTACAATAGAAAACAGTTCTTTTAAATCGTAATAATATTTCACAATATTGCTGTTTTACTGTATTTTTGATCAAATAATTGCAGCCTTGGTGAGCATAAGAGACTTCTTTCAAAATCTTACTGATCCCAAACTTTTGAACAGTAGTGTATAAATAAGTCCTTTTAACCTTTCATCTCTTTCAATTTTGTAAAGAGTCGTTCAAAATTCTCCACATCTGCATCCCCAGCTGTTAGATTTGCCAACTCTTGGATATCTATGTCAATCATGGGATCTGTGGCAGATTGGCAAATATTTCATTAAACACTGAACAGAAGTACATTCAAATATATTTTAAAAATAGCTTGTTCCATTTGTACTTTTTATGATATTTTACCATTAATTAACCTCCAAAATGACTATATTGCCATTAGCAAAAATACATACCAACTACTGTGTCCACTGCATTATTCTGGTTATTCTCTGCTCTCTGGCTCTCAGTGCCTTCATCTGTACTGTTGGATGGGGAATGAGAGGACTAATAACAGGGAGAAAAACAGCCTGTTACAACTAGATAACAGATAGTTCACCCAAAAATGAACATGCTGTCATCATTTACTCACCCTCAAGTTGTTCCAAACCTGTATGAATGAATTTCTTCTGCTGAACACAAAGAAGATACTTTGAAGAATGTCGGTAATCAGACAGTTGACGGACCCCATTGACATCCATAGTATTTTCATCAATATCTACCGTTAACTGTTTGGTTACCAACATTCTTCAAAGTATCTTCTTTGTGTTCAGCAGAAGAAAGAAATTCATACAGGTGTGGAACAACTTGAGGGTGAGTAAATGAAGACAGAATTTTGGGTTTTGGGTGAACTATCCCTTTTAAGACTCTAACATACACAGACAAAGCTAAATAATGTTCATTTAAATAGTAGAAAATGAGAAAAGACTAACCAGTGTCTCTTGACTGGGCCGTGGGTTGTTGTGATGCGAGGCCACCAGGCTGCTCATTAGCCCAAATCCCTGATTATGTACTGAGGGGAATAAATGATGATCAAAAGAAAAGGTGATTAACATTGCTTAGAATGAACCTGTGAATATGGTTTGTTGTAGATGGCATTGGTATTTCATAATGAATGATCTTTACACAGTTATTGAACTAAACTGAGCTGAATAATGTGAGCTGCTTTGATAAAGTTTGCATCATAAATTCTGTTACTTTCTGTTTATTACTGTGAAGCTGCTTTGAAACTATTTCTATTGTATTAAGTGCTATACAAAATAAAGGTGACTTGACATTGTACATTTGGCATTAGGGCAGCACAATCTCACCATCTTTCATCTCGACACTGGACCACACGTTGGCATTTAGGGCCTGCAGGATTCTTTTTATTCCTGTGGACTCTGGGAAGTCATCTACAGGATACGCAAAAAAGAAAAAGAAAAAAAAAAGACTATAAACAAAACCTTTTTTGAGTGCATAATCATGACTTCACTATGTTTTCTCTCTCACCATCTTCATCGGGTAGATCTTCAGGGTTGAGCTCTACTAATTCAAATGCGTGAGCCAGACACCATTGCTGGGCTTCCTGTCTGCTAACACCTGCAACGGTATATTCACACCAAACTTAGCAAAACAAACTACTGAATGATGAAAGATACCAAACACATACTCACCGCTGTCACACACATGGTCACACACTAGGATCAGCACTTCTGGAGCAAGTTCCTCCACTACTGATAACCAGGAGTTGACATTGTTAAGGGCGTCTTTCTGAAATACATAAAGAGGTGAATCAAGGGCACATGCATAAAATGGGGAAATTGTCAAATGATCAATATGTCCAATTGTCCATCACTCACAGTTTTGCTGTCAAAATAAACGATGAATGCTTGCATAGACCGGGCAACCTCTGCATTCATGTCAAATTTACTTGAAACAACACATAGACTGACGTTTGCTGTGTAGTATTTGTTGTTAATTGTCCATGGAAACCAAGACACTCTTTCCTCTATTTTAGTAGCTTGTGGCAGTGATTCTGAGCCCAAGATCTCTGGAATAAATATAGACAAAATTGTTATTGGCCAAGTGTGTATTTGAAATGGATAAAAAAAAACACTGGCAGGGAAAACAACCACTAAAATAAGCTAGAAGTAAAAAATGAAGCCCAACACTGCCGCATGCTGGACAAAAAAACAAAAAACATGGATATAAAGAATCACCACCTTTTTTTTTTATGTACTAAAAGTAAGCACTAACTTATACATATTAGATAGATAGATAGATAGATAGATAGATAGATAGATAGATAGATAGATAGATAATAATTATTAGAATAAAGATTATAAACATCATAGACAAGAATACACCTTAATCACCCAATTTTACAGGATTTTATACATGCACAGTGTGAACATACATCATATTTGTGTCATGCTATATTGCACACGTATTATGTAGTGTATCACTGTATCAAGAAAGAATAGTAAATACCAGAAATGATTCACACATTCATTGCCGTTATATCACGTTGTATCAATACTCTAAGAGCAAGGTATTTGTAGAAAACCAATATGACAGACAAACGTGTAAAGAAAGCAATTTGACTTAAATGAAACACTGCATGTTACATGAAACGAGCAAAGAGCCAGATGTAGATTTGTAAGATGACAGTTGAGAAATCTTTACAAAAAACACTGCTTTATGCTATAGTTACACAATACATTAATGCACAATACATTTAATGCAATTGATAATTAAACAGTTATTATCGCGTTTGCAATTAGGAGACACTACGATGGATGTTTCTTGTTGACAGCTAACGTTAGCATAGCTGCAAGGCTAACGACTCTAGGATAAATTCCCCCCTTGTACTCACGTCTAATGAGCTCCTCTTCTTTAAAGCTGGAATCACAACTTGTGACTAAGATAGACGGCAGAGTAAGTACTTCATCTCCTTGATCATCGGCCATTTTACGCGTTTAGACGCTTAAAAACAGCTCCAAATGAAAGTTAGCACGTTAGCAACAGCTGTCAACCTCCTCCAGAAAACCTTTCACCTCTAACCTCAACTTACTTCCGTGTCTGCGCGTGTCGTGTGTGGAATAGAAAATCTAAAGTTTACTTTAAGAGTTATAGTAAAGCGGCTTTTCAATGAATAGCTTTAGAAATAGCGTAAGTCAGTCGGTGATACATACTACTACTTAATAATGAACTGATAATAAAAAATAATAATACTTCCTGCCCTTGTTTCTCACAGAGCGTTGTGTTGCTATAGTTACGGCCAGACCTTTGTTCAGAAAAATACTAAGACTTGTAACGTTACTTAAATGTGTCTTGAAAACCCAAAAGAGTTATTTAGTTGAGAAATGGCCGACGTGCTTAACAATAAGGATGAAGTTGGGCATATTTTAGTACAGGTAATGTAACAAGAAGGCTGACAGCTGTTTAAGTGTTAACTGTTAAATATAAAACTATGCTAACGTTAGTTACATTAACGTTATATAATAATTGAATATGACATAGTTACGTTTTGAAGACTATACTCTAGTGGATTTTCTCGTGTGTTAGGTGCAGGATGATTTGAGACAACTAAAAAAGAATCTTGTTCGAATGACTGTCCAACATGACGGGGAAGTTTTGGACATTCAAGCTCTGGATACGGCCATTAGCAGGACAGAAAATGGAATAAGGGTAAATAAATCACGACTTTATGACAACTTGACTAGAGTATATCTGTATAGTTGAGGTCTGTATATCCTAAATACACAGCATACGTGACAAAATGTCTGGGGGGTGCAAAGACTGTGGAGTTTATAAAATTGCAAAATAAATAAATACAACTTTTTTATTATTTTATTTTAACCAAATTGAAATCTATTTAGGTCATCTTGCATCCCTGGCTTGTAAGATTCGTGCAGTAAAACATACAAATAAGTGTAATGTGGTTCTGTCAACTCTTGGAGAGATTGGCATGGTAATGGATGTGGCATTGTTATGTGTTTGGTCTTGGTGGAATAGATCTGCTACGCTGCTGCTGCTGCTGCTGCAGAGCAAGTACCTGAGACTTTCACAGACATTCTTTCCAATACATTCACAGACATTCTGCTGCTGCTGCTGCTGCACATATCTGACCCTGCCTGGACCACAGAACCAGTCACATGGGTCACAATTTTGAAATTGAGATGTATACATCATATGAAAGCTGAATAAATAAGCTTTCCATTGATGTATGGTTTGTTAGGATAGAATAGGACAGGATACAACTATTTGAACATCTGGAATCGTAGGGTGCCAGATAATCGAAACATTTAGAAAATCGACTTTAAAGTTGTCCATTTATGTTCGCGATTGTGCTGCATTCACTCACAAAAATAACTGTTTTATATATTTACGGTAGGAAATGTACAAAATATCTTCATGGAACATGATCTTTACTTAATATCCTAATGATTTTTGGCATAAAAGATTTTGACCCATACAATGTATTGTTGGCTATTGCCACAAATATACCCGTGCGACTTGTGACTGGCTTTGCGGTCCAGGGTCACATATAACCTACATGAATTAACCCCTGTAGCAGATCTATACAGGTGGAGCTGGGGAAGGTAGAGGGTTTCTGAAAGCACACTGCTACTGACTCCTAACAGCAAACAATCCCAAGTAGTTGATGGTTGAGCTGCAAGCTCATTGGCTGCTGACGCCACAGCGACCAATCAGCTGTGCTATGCAGATAACGATGCAATCGCTAACATACTAAGTCGCGATCGAGAGGAAGGTGACATGGGCGGAGCTGGGAAAGGCAGAGCCACATCGGATCAAGTTTCTTATCCAGGCAGTATACGATGTGCTTCCCAGCCCGTCAAACCTTCACATATGGGGCAAAGTGGAGTCACCAGCATGCCCACTGTGCTCCAAGCGCTAGAGCACATTCTAAGTTGCTGCTCAAAGGCACTGGGAGAGGGAAGGTACAGGTGGAGGCATGACCAGGTACTGAAAGCCATTGCTGAAGCCATTGCTACAGGAGTCGAGTGGGCAAAGCGCTCCCGCCCCTCCAAACAAGCCATCACCTTCGTCAGAGCTGGAGAGCAGCCAAAACCAGCCACAAAAACATCTGCAGGCATACTGGCCACTGCGAGGGACTGGCAGCTGTTGGTGGACTTGGAGCGGCAACTCAAGTTCCCCAACCACGTTGTGACCACCTCCTTAAGACCAGATGTCGTTCTCTTGTCTGAGTCCACCAAACAAGTGGTTCTGTTGGAGCTTACAGTCCCTTGGGAAGACCGCTTGGAAGAGGCCTTTGAGAGGAAGCTCACCAAGTACGAGGGACTAGTCAGCGAGTGTCGACAAGCCGGATGGAGAGCAAGGTGTCTTCCAATAGAGGTAGGATGCAGGGGCTTTATAGCCCGATCCCTGTCCAGAGCCTTCAGTCTGTTAGCCATTGATGGAGTGCGGAGGAGAAGAGCCATCCGCAATACCACTGAAGCGGCAGAGAAAGCCTCAAGATGGCTATGGCTCAAGAGACTAGCTAGATTTGCCAACTGGACACAAGCTGGGGTCTGATCAGCCACAGCTGGGTCGCCTGGATGAGGGTGTATGATGTTGAGAGACCCGAAACACCCAATGATTCCAGGAACATCACTGAAGATGTGTCCAGTATAGCATCAGTAGATGTATTTGCACAGCAAGGACCTATCAGCCTGCGGCATCTAACCCCGTTTCACAGACAAGGCTTAAGCCTAGTCCCATTCTAAAATGCATATTTGAGCTGTTTTAACTGAAAGCAACTTGCTCTGACATATCTTAAAATATGTCAGTGTCATTGTTTTGTCTCAAGATGCACATCAGTAATGTTTTTTTCTAAGGCACATTTATAAATGCCCTAATTGTACTAAGGCCTAATCCTGGCTTAGTCTAAACCCTATCCATGAAACCGGGCCATAGAGTTTCATGAAGAAATTTTGTATATCGGAAGAATAATGTACTGTATGTAAATATGTCATCTGTTTATTGATTCATAGAGGCATGCAGAGGATTATCTGAAAACTATCAACAATCAGGTTTTGACTCTACCTTGTATTGAAGAGCCTGAAAAGAAGATTGCCCATGCCAAACCTGTTAAATGGTATTTTAAAAAACTATTATACGAATATAAATTAATAAAAAATCTACAGAAGTATTTCAATTGCATAATGTAAAATTGTATGAAATCTAAAATATCTGTCTAACATTTTTCTAGGCAACCAACATACGAGACAATACCTAATGCACGTCCTCAGAAAATCCAGATTTCTGGTCCATCACCTGGGGAAAAGGTTTCCATCTTTACACTTATTCATGACATTTGTTAAGCCAAAAAAAATATCTGTATTCTGTACTCTATATTTCTATCTCCCACACAGCACAAGTCAGCATTTATCATGCGTCTCCTCAATAACCCTTGCCACCCAAAGAACAAGGAGCTCATGCAACAAAATTATGGGATTCAGTTTCCTCACCTGCACAAGAGAAACAGGGCCAGTGTGAGTTTCGGACAGGAATGATTCTATTATTTTTTTATTATTATTTAAAAAGGTCTATTAAAGTGACAGTTCAACCAAAAAAAGAAAATTCTGTCATCATTTACTCACTTTCATGTGATGTTGTTCCAAACCTGTATGACTTTTTTTCTTCTGCGGAACACAAAAGAAGATACTTGGTTGGTTTGTGTGACCATTTGACATTGTACAGAAAAAAAACACTCAGACATTTCTCAGAAAATGTTCTGTTATGTTCCACAGAAGATAGACAGTCATACAGGTTTGGAATGACATGAGAGTGAGTAAATAATGACAGAATTATCTTTTTTGTGTGAACTATCCCTTTAACACTATAGTGTTCTCGCTCCTTTATTTTACATGTGTGGCTGCATTAGAACCTAGCATCTTTTATGATTAAGGCTTATAGTGTTGATTATATGGTGGCCAGCGTTGACTGTTACCTTAACACCAGCGTCTGTCACATGAGCCTCACGAAAAGAAAGGATGTGAGTGTGACTGGCGTGTAATAATAGATGACTCCAGTCACTTTGCTTTCAAACAGGAGATGCGGATTTGAAGGTCACCTGGTTTGGCAGTGACAGCTAAATCTGTCTGTTGGTAAACAAATTAATCTTTCGAAAGGTCACCATTTGTTTTGGTGCTCTGTTTCTCCCCCCCTTCTTCTTTCCGCTGCGGTTCTTCCTCTATCTCCTGCATCCTCTGCCTGTCACTCGTGAGGAGGCTGTCATGTTGTTGAGAAGAAGGTATGAGACTTGGCTGCCGAAAGCAGACAGACGCAGATTGCGGCACATCAGCATTCTTCTGAGGACGGCCACCGCCTGATTGCAGTTGTATGGGCTGCTGCTTTACAGCTGTCTCAGGACAGGCACTGGTACCTGTTCCTGCATGCCAATAAGACAGCCATGGATTACCCAACTGGCACTCGCTGGCTCTCTGCCTGCTGCGTCAATACCTCTATGCTGTCGGCTAGTTCTCCGCTGAGTCTCCAAAGGAGCTCCCACTGTTGTTTTTTTTTTTTTTTTTTTTTTTTTTTTTTTACAAATGTCCCCTTGTACCACTTAAACAGCTGCAAGCCTCAAAACCACTCCAAACACCTGGCTGGTGCTCGTGGTTTGTCAGAGAGCTCAGTGGTGTGACAACAGACAGGCCAGAGAACATCAGGGGGAGAATCCGGAACAGCAGGATGAGGAGAGTACAGAAGGGCTGTGTCTGGCATGTGCCCACAACTTGACAAACTCACAGTGTGCTCTCCATTATATGTTTTTCGGCCATGGAGAAGTGACCGACCTTGTTCTTTGATGTTTTGTGTGCTATGATTAATGCACGTCCAACTCGTTGCATTTGTTTTGTTTTTACACCAAGAAAAGTTTATCTTGCTTTTAATAGGCTATAAATTGTCGGTAGATAACACGTTTTTATTGGGCGTTTTGTGACATCATGTGTCTTCGGGAGTAATTTGTGACTTTTGGTGCTTGTTTTTATCAAAATGATTGTAAAAATTAATGGTGAATTATATTAGTCGCTTTATGACTATTGCGAAAGTCCTAATTGTCGCAGTACATCCATTTTATTGTGGAATGTGGAGCACGACTTTCATTTGATTTAGGAACTATTATATGATAATGAGGAGGTATGAGCATTTTAGGCATTGCTCTGATGGAATTTAATTCTAGAAGATTTCAAACAGCTGTTCACTTGAGAGAAGGTGCGAGGCAAATAAACCGAGCCGTGCTCAAAGTATCCAGAAAGCATTGCCAGCTTGTGATTGATTGCTTCAGGGAAGGGGCTTATTGGCCAGTTTACAATGTCATTAACTGCCTGTATTTTAGCTCCAGCTTTATTTTAATGAATGCAGAAAATCTGTTGGTTGTAATCACACAACATCACCGCGCTCTCTCTCGCAAATGTGCACGCACTTGTGATTCGCAACAGCCAGCGGAACAGAGAGAAAGAGAAACCATATTTCTTGACATCTACAAGCTGCCACCAGCCTGATTAATGGATAGTCGTCTCAGCCTTTTACAACAAAGTTTTGTTTGGAGGGGAAAAATCTGATCAGTGACCCGAAGCTAATAGCATTCTCCATGAGCAAGTTACTGAGCGAAGTATGTTCCCTCTCTCTTCTCCTAGTACTGGGTGAATGGTGGCTTTAGAGCCTGCAGGCAGGTCTTTTTGGCCCAGTGAGACGGGGCAGTAGGTTAATACCCTTTGTTCTGTCACTTTCAATACCTCTGACCTTCGACCACAGAGCTATCATTCGAGGCTCAGTAATTCCTCCAAATTTGGACAATGTTTTATTGCCTTTTGAAGACATTCCCATTACTTCTCCTTGCTAGTTCATCCAAGCCTATAGGGCTAATTCACCCGAAAATTTGAATTCTGTTACCATTTACCCTGTTGATTAAAGTGAATTGTGACCATGTTTGTCTTGATTGATCGTAACACAACAAACTTGAACATCCAGATGAGATTTGAATGCTAAATTATGAATTTAAAGCATCAAGTACAGTGAAATAAACCATAACAGATTTAGCTCTTTAAAAATAACTATATTCCAGCTAAGGTAAACCACAATGGTTAGAAAGAGTATAGTGTGTATTTATGTAATGGAAATGTGCTTGCCTTGGTTATTCTAGGTTGGGACTCAAAGAGTGGTCACTGGTCCCGCTTTAGGGAATTTCGCTGCAACACATGGAGGTCTGCCTAAACAACTGCACCCTAAATCACTACCCGAAAGTGAGCACACCAATGCAGGTATAAACTTCTTGGAACAACTGATATTTCTTCATGCATTATAAACACTATACTGTTCAAAAAGTTTTGAGTCAGTAAATATTTTTAAAGGTTTTTGAAAGAGGTCTTTTTAAGCTCACCAAAGCTACATTTATTTGATCAAAAATAGAGTAAAAACAGTAATATTGTGAATTATTATTAGAATTTAAAAAACAGTTTTCTATTTTAATATATTTTAAAAAGTAGTTTATTCCTTTAATGGCAAAGGAGTCAGTACTTTATTAATCATTCTAATACGCTGATTTGGTGCTCAATAAATATTTCTTATTATTATCAATGTTAAAAACAATTGTACCGTGTAATATTTTTGTTCAAACCTTGATGTTTTTTTTTCTTCAGGATTCTTTAATGAATAAAAGTTTAAAAGAACTGCATTTATTTGAAATATACTTTTTTTTTGGTAACATGTAAAAATGTCTTTACTGTCACTTTTGATCAATTTAATATGGCCTTGCTGAATAAAAGGACTACTTTCTTTAAAAGAAAAAAATCTTACTGAACCCAAACTTTCGAATGGTAGTATATATGCCTAGATTTGTTTGTTTGTGCTCTTTTTGTTTTCATGAGTAATGTGTTGCAGTCACAATAAAACCCTGAAATATTTTGTGTACAGATCCTCTCTGCAGATTTTAATGAGACTTGGTTTGTCATGCATTTCAGCGCTGCAACCCTCTGCAGATGACCTCTCCTCAGTGCAAACTTCACCACTGCCCAAAGCTGTCCATGTGCTCCAGAGAGAGGACAGTGGCCAAAGTAAGACGGGTCAGTCTATTTCCATAATGTCATTACACAGTTTGCTTGCGGCCTACATTTAAAGTTTGAAGGTCAATTTGTATGTATCCAAAAAATCTGCTTTTTTGTGTATTGGATTCCCACAATCTACATTCATATGGAGAGTAAACTGAATTCATTGGGGGACAAAAGAACAAAAATATATATATTTTTAAATTAACATTTGATTTGTTATCTGTGATATCTTGTTTTAAGTGTCAGTCATGCGCTTAGTACTTTTTGAAATTATACACAATGTTGGGGGTAATGCATTACAAAGAACTTAACATGATCAGATTCCCTTTTTCATGTAACTAGTAAAGTTTATTGCTTATAAATTTACAGCAAAATATAGGTTACTTTTTCAAATAAGTAACGCAAGTTACTTTGTTTTTCAAATCCATTGTGAAAACATTATACAGTAGTTATTGTAGTTGTGAGCATGCATTATTTACTCATCTCACTTACACAAAAACAGGTTCAGTATTACTCAAAATCATTAAAAACAGTGAAATGCAAACTCGTAATGTTACGCAAACCTGCAATAATGAAATGTTAAATGACACAAATATACTTTATGCATTTAATCTCACTTTATTAATCAATGTCCTCGCTGCTTACTTTTGATCATCCAATTCAACCAGATACTAATAAGGAAAAATGACTTTTTATTGCTGAAGTAAGAGGCTAAGTGTAACGAAGCAGGCAGGAATGAAGCGGAGAGATGAATCCAATTGCAAGCACATTTAATAATAAAACAAACAAAAGAAACTCAGACTAGGAAAACAGGAAAAAAAGCAACCATTACAACATTAAGAACTCACAAGGACTGAACTAAAACACAGGGCTTAAATACAGAGGACCGGGTGAGTGAAACAAGACACAGCTGGGCAATTAACTAAGAACACAGGTGGAAAACATGAACACAAACGAGGAGCGGGAAAACTAGAAAGGACTAAACCAAATACACAATAATGGGGGGAACACAAGACAGACAGGAACAAGACATGAACCCACATCGTGACACTAAGAGGCATACTTCCCTGCTATATAGTAGGCGATAAACAGTATGTGATAAAACAAGCATGTATGAATTCACAGTACTCATAAAAGAGTAGGCAAAAAGTACCCGGATGACCTACTTCATCTGGTGAGATTCTGAAGTGTGCATCCGATGGACACTTTACTATCCCATGAGGCCACGGGAGAGGATTTATGAATGGCAGTGAAGCAACGTACAGTAACTGACGCTGGTAGATCACATAGACATAATAAATATGTATTTATTAGGTCTATGGGTCACATGAAAATGACAACATGGCAAATGTAGTATGTCCGGATTACATTCATACTATATAGAACATACTTTTTTAGCGGTCGTGAAGTAGTTACTTATTCAAAATAATCAAGAGAGTATGCGATTTCGGACGCAGCCAGAGTGTTGAACTTTCTTATTTGCTATTCTTCTGCAGTCCAGAAAGGCAGCACTGCTGAAAGGTTTGTTAGAGCTGCGTCTTCTACTGTACAGGCGTAAATTTGCATTTCCTTCAGCCTGAGGCTTATTCATTTAACTTTTGGTGTGAAAGGGCCTTTACATTTGCCAAAAGGATAGGACTTTTTTTGTTAGTAAAAAACAAACAAGCAAGCCCAACCCAGGTGAGAAAAGCTAGTAGCGCAAAAATAACGCAACACATTTCTTTTCATAAAAAGTAACTAAGTAATGCATGTATAATACACATATATACAGTGTTCTTTAAAAAGTAACTAATTGCTATTTTTATATATATATATTAATCATAATATTATAAAATTGTCTGCTTCAATCAAAAAACTAAATAAATCTTACATATATTTATATATTGTTTTTTCATACTTTTTATTATATCTGTTATACTTTTTATACTTCATACAGTCTTTGACATGTGACTGCGGTATGCACTTCTTATCTGGTTAATGGTAGATGAGTCAGAAAAGGCTTGTAAACGGGAGATGGATGTGAGCAGAGACAGAATGGCTCTTGGAAGATCATCATCCGAGAGTCCAACATCCAGGAACATGCGAACTCCCCCTCCTTCAGCTGCTTCTGCAAGCTCTGACAACAGAGTACTGACTCATGCTTTAGCCCGACTCACCCCACTTAACCTGCAGGTATTATTTATTTATACTGAGGTGCATAAAGTTATTTATGACAAGGATATATAGTGTGCTCTGCTCGCTGAGTTGGCAAAACGCTCATTTTCCATTCCCACTATGTGTCTTCTGTTTCTAATAATCATTTGTTTCTCAAAAGGACCGTTATTTTATGTTGTATTTTGCCTGTGAACATATACTAAACATGCAATCTGGTCATGAAAGCTTACTGACTGATAATCAATTTTCCTTTTCTGTTTAAAGTGACCTTTTACCCCTGATGTAATGTTAAATGTGTCAGGAATGGCTTCAGGGTAGATATGGGCAATGATTTGAAATGGTCACCCTCTGCAAGCCAGTGGCCTTTCGGATTTATAAAAATAAGCTTTTACAGTTGCTTTCTATTCAGTTAATGGATTTCATTTTTTTGTTTTTATTTATGACTTTTATGTTACAGACAAAAGTTGTGTCCCAAATTACATATTATACACCGTGCACTTATACTATGCACTATGTACTCAACCTAGTCTAGTGTATGAATTCTATAAGGTTATTTTGTCATTCAGCATCAGAGTCTGATAGCCAGTTGAGACGCATTAATTGTCATTCAACATTCCACACTTTTTTTCCCTGTTAATTCAGTGCATCATCCGGGTATTTGAAGTGCACTTTTTCTTTTTGGAATTCTTAGTGTGAATGCACTAAGCACACTATTTATACTAGAAAACGGCATAGAGTAGTGCATAAGTATGCAAATTGAGACACATTTCTAGTTTTCTTAACCCTTTTTTTTATTAATTGCAATAACCATTTGCATTTCTTTCTTCTTAGAGCATTCCAGTGCAAGCTGCTGTCAGCAAATATCCTTTCACCGTAGTTGAGGGTCAGATTGACCCGGATGCTCCTGACTACTGTAGGTTTAAAAAGCAGTACTGTCTGTGCTGGGTTGCAATTGTGGAGGCTCTGGACCAGCTGCAGCGGATGCTACTGGACTTTGCGGTGCCATTGGCGCGGGTGTGCGGGGAGCGGCTGGCAGCTTGCGCGCAGAGCGGTGAGCTCAACTGGAGAGGCAGCAGGGGCCGGTGCGCCCATGTGGAGAAGCTGCTCTCGGTGCTGGAGAACAGGGATGAGGTATGGGATCAGATCCGTCAGCCCGGCCAGCGCTACAAAGGCAACGGGGGGCATCAGGCAGCGGCTGTGTGCATCCAGACCTGCTGGAGGCGTTACTCTGCCCGTACCGCCTACCTGCTCCAACTCAGGCCCAAATGGGCGGCACAAATTATTGCCATGTCTCTGCTGAAACGTGCCAAACTGGGCCATTTAAAGGAGAGTCTGCAGGCCTCACGTCTCCGCCAACTGGAAAACTACCGCACCCGAGCAGAGGTAAATTATATACACAACAGTTAGTTCTGGTCCTCAAATCTGATAGGTCGAACAGCATTGCAAAACCATTGATATAATGTTTTAACATGGGGAATTTGTATTGTTTGTATAGATTCGCTATGCTTGTCTTTTGCACATTCCGGATTGTCAGTCTAAAATTTGATTAGGAACAATGTACGAGGAACAAGTATGAATGTGTGTACATACTACATCCACCATGTTCATTTTGTCTTGTGTCACTGCCATTAACAACAACTTTTCCAGTGGCATAATGGGATAGTAAAGTGTCTATTGGATGCGAACTTCAGAATCTCGGCAGAAATGGTAGGGCATCCGGGTACTTTTCACCTACTGTTTTATGAATTTAGATACAGTTTTTTGCCTAGTATATAGTAGAGGAGTTTACATATTTGGATGGTAATTATTAGGTCTTTATTATAAGTGAGTCATTCAATTGTTCAACCAATTGGTTAATTCAGGAACGAAACAACTGTTGTTATTTGTGAGTCATTATTCAACTGATTCATTAAAAAAACTGATTCATTTGCAACTTTCTTTATGAATGAGTTAATTGAATCAAATCAACCAATTCGTGCAAAAATAAGTGTTGCAGCTGTTCTGCTGTGGATCCTGAATCCGTGGCATAAGAAAGAGCAGTAGTTCCTCTCACAAGAAGTTCTCTGGGACACTCTTGTTCGCTAAAGTGTTGTATAAAATCAGGCTGTACACACCTGTAAAGAACATCTTTCAAGCATTAATAAAGAGCTGGAGAGAATTGAACTTTCAATGCAGAGGTGCTTATACAAAGAGTAATTGTGATAGCACAAGCTCACGTTTAGATTAAGTTTCTATTTGTCAGAACAGATGTTTCATCTGTGCTGTCATTCCTGTAACATCTTTATGAATCTAGCATGTCTCTTAATTAGTGCCCACATGTTCATTTATCCTCAGCGTCACTCACTGTGAGAGGAGACACAAGCTTGTGTATGTTTCCACCCTTTAAACACTCACATCCTTTTAATTAAGCCTTAATCTTCCCCTGGCAGAAAGCTTCATGTAGCCTGCTAATTGAATTAATAGAGGGAAGATGTTTCTAAGTATGCACTTAGCTGATTTAATTAATGTGATTTATGCTTGGTTTGTCTCCATGAGACCCAGGGAGAAAGACAAGCATAATTCCCTCACTTTGCTGCCATCGGTGGGCCGACAACATGATAAATCCGTGTGCTGGTGGGTGCTGACTGTCACTGATCACTTTTATTCTCTGCTGTGATTCACAGAGTCTGGCAGCCAACTGGAAACACATCACCTCCGCCAAAAGGACTATTATCCACGTCCCATCATTGGGTAATTCCTTTGCATCTGTTATGATGGCTCCTGGTCACATAATATTTTTAAGGGAAAAATTTTATGTATTTAGGTGTACCTGCAGAAAAGGCAAAAAATAAACACAAATTTATTTGTCAAAATCATTGAGACCTGCACTGGCTATTGAGATGATGATGACGAGTTGAATTGTAATCACCAGCAGATGGAGTGTGATTTTTGCACTGGGGGTGGCTGAGGAGAGGCCCGTGTGAGCTCGGATAATTAAGAAGTTGAACCCTATTGTTTTTATTGCCTCGCTCTGTTAGTTTGCATACATTTAATCATTTCATTATAGAGATTCGTTTCTAGCAGTCTTTTTGAGGATTTTGAGTGTCCTGACTTAGAATAGAGTCATTAACTTGTTGATAAAATCTCATTTCAAATCATTTTAATTTGTTTGACAGGATATTCCCAGCATCAGCGACTCAGTCACAGGGGATTTGATGTACTTCAGAATACCCAAATGGGGCGACTATGTGACATCAGAGGTAAGGATTTTAACCACAAATGAAATTGGATTGACAAAAGACACATGAAAATTAACACAGTACTGTTTGTGTCACATACAGATGAGAATGTCGAGGTCATCTACGTGTCTCCGGTGTGCCTGGGAGAGGATGTTCTCCAGTACTACACTCACCTGCTGGGCCTGCAGACAGCCATTGAGCTGGGTGATGCTTCTGCGCCTGAGTCCAACTGTGCCAAACGCTTCACCATCCTCATGCCAGAAGCAACGGAATATTTTTCAGTATGGTGCTCTACACACACACACACACACACACACTAACCCTACCCCTAAACATACCCATGTAACAAAACTTTCTGCATTTTTACATAAAAAAAACAAACAAACTTTTATTACTTTATTTTTATACCAGATTTACAAATGACGACGTCTCATTGTAGATTTTGTCAGGTTTTGGTCAATTCTGGGTACATATTTGTCCCCAAAATATAGTTAAGTAGGTACACACACACAAACCTAGGTGTTCACACACAGACCTTTTGTCTCCCCTCAAAGTGGTTTCTGAAATATGGTGGTGAACATAAATTTGTAAATCATTTGTATAGAAGAATTTGTTGTGTTATTTCTCACCTGTAGAGGGTGACAGAGGCACCCTGTGTAGCAGATCTCCTATGAATGATTAGGCTTTAATGCAATGATCTCTGGATTAATAATTACGGTGGCCGAGAGAGCTCAACGCGCTGCAACTGAAGAAAACGCATGCAAATAGAAGAAAACACATGCAAATAGAAAACAACGCGTGCAAATAGAAAAAAACACATGCAAATAAAATAAAACGCATGCAAATAGAAAAAAACGCATGCAAATAGAAGTGCAAATAATAATAAAAACACCTGCAAATTAAGAAAACATCTTCGTCAGTTTCACAACACACGTGTGCTCCAAATACTCACAACACCACCAAAATACATAAACGCGCTGCAAATAACACAGAGCACAACGGAAATGTTTCCAGGGGAACCAAATAAGTGACGAACCCGGCTGGGACGTGCTGGCATAGATATCCATAAATCTATGCGTGCTGGTGCTTACAGCTTAAAATTATACTTTATTTATTTATTTGTTTGTTTGTTTGTGCAAAACATACAGAGATTACATTTTTTATGACATACAACTTGTATACAATGTACAAAATGTATTAACAATATGTTCAATGTCATCAGAATACAAATGAGAAAAGAACAATGAGCTGGAAACTAAAATAAATAAATAAAAAAGATAAAGAAGAAAAACATGAAGGAAAGATATTTATCTATACATCAGTTACACTGTACAAATTGTTTCATGTTATTACATTTTCATAAAGAAAAGTTTCGTAAGAAATGTTAGGTAATGTAGGGTCCAAAATTTTAAAGTTGAGACACAGATATATAACGCATATTTTAAGCTTTTTTTGTAAACTAAAAATAAAAATGTATTTGCATCCGTTATGTTAACAGCATCATATTTCTGTCGTAAGACCAGCTGATGGACGCCGTGCTGCGTTGTCATGGGAACATCCCACGTTGTCTTTAGTTGCTCCCTTCATCAAGTGCGTTCCACACGGCTGCCTAACAGCCCACTAGAGCCTTTGCTCACTCCAAAAGGGCTCTGCAATCTACCCTTCGAAGGGAGTATGGCATAGGGAAGCTCACGAGCAATAAGCACATCTCAGCCGGGTTCGTCACTTATTTGGTTCCCCTGGAAACATTTCCGTTGTGGTCTGTGTTATTTGCAGCGCGTTTTCTGTATTTGGTTGTGTTGTGAACTTTTGCAGCGCGTTTCCTTATTTGGAGCACACGTGTGTTGTGAAACTGATGAAGATGTTTTTTTTTATTTGCTGGTGTTTTTTTTCTATTTGCACGCGTGTTTTTTTCTATTTGCATGTGTTTTTTTCTATTTGCATGCGTTTTTTTCTATTTGCACACGTTTTTCTCTATTTGCATGTGCTTCAGTTGCAGCGCGTTAAGCTGTCTCGGCCACCGTAAATATTAGTATTTTTCTACATTTATAAACATTTGATATTGTACAAAACTAAATGTATATATACATTGATTGAAAGAATCGATAGATAGATAGATAGATAGATAGATAGATAGATAGATAGATAGATAGATAGATAGATAGATAGATAGATAGATAGATAGATAGATAGATAGATAGATAGATAGATAGATAGATAGATAGATAGATAGATAGATAGACTGAGGGATAATATAGTCTGTACTTTGCAAGGAGAGTTTTTTTCGCAACACTATACAAATTTGTTTCTACAATTATTGTAGGCCTGACTGACTGCATGCGCAACACAACACGTTATTTATTTATTGCCGCATAGTGCACGAGTGGCACGCGCTGCCTCTTCCCTGTCGATTCCTCTCTGTGTGTAAACTCTGCCAGACGTGTCATCAGGATAAATCTCTGTTAGCCGTTGCTGCCAGCGTGGCATGCCAATGACAGACGGGACAATTCTGCTTGGATCAAACATACAGATGTGGAGTAATTAGTGCTTTCCCCACAGAGCCCATCACTAAGCACATAGTAAAGACAAGAGGCTGCAGAGGTTTACGGCCCTCCCCTGACTCTCCTTTATCAATTTAACGTGTTGGAGTACAGGAGAGGTCATGACCCCTCCGGCTGCACGTAATGGGCTCAATGTGTTTGCGCGTGTTCATATATTACAGCCATAGACAAAGGGAGGGGTAAGACCTTAGAGCTATAGTGGAAAGGACAGTTATTTATGTACACAAAGATCTCTGAGATTTCACCTTCGTGGGGAAAATATACATAATAAAAATGCATTTTCATAATGTATTCTCTTTATTAGAGCTTATTATCTTTATGTAACCTTACTGTTAAAAGCGCTTAAAGCAGCAAGACCTGGGCTCCAGCAAATGATGGTGAGTTGGATGGATTTTCTCTGGTATTTAAAAAAGATTTCGTTGGGGCCCAAATTCGGTGGTGCACATAAGGACAGTCATGAACGGATGACACAGTTTTCAAAGTACACAGTCAACCTGGTTACTCACTCAGTTACTCCACTCTGCTACAGCGAAACTCTCCAACGGACACAGAGAAGTGGTTACGTGAAGCTTTGTCCTCGTCTCCTTTACACGAACAGGAAAAACTGTCCAACGCTGAAATAAAGTGATGCGTCACACCACAGAAAATGGCCGACGAATCAGACACACGAAAACGGCCGTTCTCTCTCCTTTACACGTTGAAATGTCTATTTTCAGCATACAACCGCCTGAAAATACTCCGATGCTGTTTGACTCTTCTTGGTCCTTCAATCCAAAGAAATAATAGAGAAACACTATAGTCCTTTCAGGCGGCTGCTTCAATGATCAGCACAGACTTAACGCATTTAGACTCTAAACACATGCAGAAAACATTCCCGATGTCACAATATATATATTAATATCTAAATGTGACCTAGGACACAAACACTGTTGATGGATATAGTTTAACAGCCTGCCGTTCCGTCTTCTGTCCTCCTCCGAAAACGACTCGGTTACTAACGTAACCTCGGCTCCCTGAGAGGAGGGAACGAGTATTGCGTAAGTAGCTTACGCTATGGGAAAACTCCTTTCTCGAGAAATATTGAAGTCTTTATGTAAAACGCATTGCAGCTGCACAGCAGACAGCAATGAGCGAGGCAGCTCGGTCATTGGCTGTGCAGCGGCAACTTGCTCAAACCAATGACGGGGCGACTCTGAACGCGCGACCAAAGAGCCCGCCAGGATGGGCGTGGCCAAGAGCTATATATTGGGCATGAGAGTTCTTTAGGTTAAAACGACTGAAGCGAACTAACCAAGCACAAGCACGGCAGCTTACGCAATACTCGTTCCCTCCTCTCAGGGAACCGAGGTTACGTTAGTAACCGAGTCGTTCCCTTTCGAGAGGTCTCTCCTATTGCGTAAGTAGCTTACGCTATGGGAACACCATGCAAAACGTCGTGCGTGCTGACTTCGCCTTATGACAGCCAGAGGCAGGTGCCTGAGCTGAAAAGCAAAGTTATCATCCAACTAGCCGGCCGAGGCGAGCTTTATATGTGGGAAAAAATACAGAGCGGCTCAGAAGGCGCTCAGTGTGACACAAGCACATACACAATCTAGATATGAACTCACAGTTCTACTAGCATCATGCCGATAGTACATTGGAATGCAATGTCGGGACCTGTAGGTTGTAAAACCTGATAAATGTGGACGGTGAGGCCCAGCCTGCCGCCGCACAAATATCCTCGATCGGTATCCCGCTCGACCATGCCCAGGAAGAAGCCACACTCCTGGTGGAGTGGGCTTTGACCCCCCAGGGGCATTGAAGTCCCTTGGCTTCATAAGCCAGCGCTATAGCCTCAACTATCCAGCGAAAGATACTCTGCTTTGAAACGGCGAAACCCTTCGTGCGGCCGCCAAAGCATACAAACAGCTGTTCTGTCTGTCTGAATAGGGCAGAACGCTCCAAATACACTCTGAGAGCCCTAACGGGGCAGAGTAGATTAGCGTCGCGTTCGTCTGCTGGGGACGATAGCGCGGTTAGGGAAATAACCTGTGCTCTGAAGGGAGTGGTGAGCACTTTAGGAATATACCCATGTTTTGGCCTAAGGACAACCCTGCAGTCGTTAGGTCCGAATTCTAGGCAGGCAGCGCTTGTTGAGAGCGCGTGCAGGTCGCCCACTCTCTTGACTGAGGCGAGTGCCAGCAAGAGCGCAGTTTTGAGCGAGAGCTGTTTAAGGTGCACGGTTCAGAGTGGTTCGAACGGGGCCCCTTTAAGAGCGTCTAGGACAGTGGTCAGGTCCCAGATCGGCACTGAGGGTGGGCCTGAAGGGTTCATCCTCCTAGCGCCCCTTAGGAAACGAATAATTAGGTCGTTTCTTCCCAATGGACGTTCCTTTACAGGGTCTTGTGACGCTGTAATGGCCGCCACATATACTTTGAGCGTGGAGGGGGTGCGGCCCGCCTCCAGAAGCCCTTGTAGGAAAACGAGTACGTTCGTAATCTCGCATGTTTCAGGGTTCAGGCCCTTGGTATTACACCGGTCACTGAACACTTTCCATTTCTGGGCATATAAGCGTCTCGTGGAGGGCGCCCGCGCCTCAGCGATGGTTTTTAGCGCTCCGCTCGTGAGGTTCCTGGGAACCCGTTGAGGGGCCATGCATGAAGGGCCCACAGATCGGGCGGGGGTGAAATATCATCCCGCTGGCCTGACTGAGGAGATCTGGCCTCAGTGGAATTGGCCGTGGTGCAGATTGCATTTGCATCAATTCTGGAAACCATGTCTGGTTTTTCCAGAGAGGGGCTATCAGGAGCACTGCGTTTTTCTCCTCTCTGACCCGACTGATGACCTGTGGTAGCATCGCGATCGGGGGAAAAGCATATAAGGGGCGGCTCGGCCAGCTCTGGGCGAGCGCGTCCGTGCTTTTCGTGAAGAAAAGAGGGCAGTGCGCATTCTCCTTGGAGGCGAAGAGGTCGACCTCTGCCTCGCCAAAGATTTTCCATAACCACTGAATCGTCTGAGGGTTGAGAGCCCATTCTCCTGGGAGAATTTTGTCTCTGGATAGCATGTCCGTCCCCTGCTTCAGAGCGCCTGGCACATGCGCTGCTCTCAGCGAGCGCAAGTTGTGCTGGGACCATAAGATGAGTCTCCTGGCCATCGAATGCATGGAGCTCGACCTGAGTCCACCCTGGCGATTTATGTACGACACTACCGTCATGTTGTCCGTTCGGACCAGGCTGTGTTCGTCTTTTAGATGTGGAAGCAGGGCTCTGAGAGCCAAAGCGACCGCTTTCATCTCCAGACAGTTTATGTGTAGGCGCTTTTCCGGGTTTGACCAAAAGCCGGAGACAGGCCTGCCCTCATAAAGGGCCCCCCAACCTATTTTGGAGGCATCTGTCGTGATCATCTTTCTCCTTGTGTTCACACCCAGACTCACGCCGGCCTTCCAGAGCGTCAGGGCTTTTATACAGCCGTGGTTCGCTCTGATTAAAAAGTGGCCCGAACGCCACGCGTGAGTAGGGACGCGGCTCTTGAGCCAGCGTTGGAGAGGGCGCATGTGCAACAATCCTAGCTGGAGTACGGCCGATGCTGAGGCCATGAGACCGAGCATCCTCTGAAACCGCTTGACGGGTGAACGCCTTGAATGATGTTGCAAGGCGCCGGATGGTGAGCGCGCGCTCTGATGAGAGACGAGCTGTTATTTGCATCGAGTCTAGAACTATTCCCAGGAAAGAAATCTTCTGGCTGGGAGATAGCATACTTTTTGCAAAATTGATTCTCAGACCCAGGCATTCTAGATGGCTGATAATCCAAGATCTGTGTGTTATTAACTGACTCTCTGATTGTGCTAGGACCAGCCAATCGTCGAGATAATTCAGTATTCGCACTCCCTGCCGCCTCAAGGGGGAAAGTGCTGCATCCATACATTTCGTGAATGTACGGGGAGCCAGGGACAGGCCGAACGGAAGTACTGTGTACTGGTAGGACTGTCCCTCGAAAGCGAATCTCAGAAAAGGCCTGTGATGAGGCGCTATTGGAATGTGAAAGTAAGCATCTTTCAGATCCACTGAGAGAAACCAATCTCCTGGGCGAACTTGCGCGAGGATATGTTTGGTTGTTAACATTCTGAACGAGCGAATCATTAGCGCTTTGTTCAGGTGTCTGAGATCTAGGATGGGGCGGAGACCGCCATCCTTTTTCGGGACGAGAAAATAGCGACTGTAAAAACCTGCCTCGCTCATTGAGGGGGGAACAGTTTCCACAGCACCCTTTTCTATTAATTTGCGCACCTCGGTGCGTAGAACATGTGAACACTCTTTTCTCACTTTCGTCTCGACCACAGTCGTAAAACGTGGTGGTCTGCGAGTGAACTGGAGCGAGTATCCGTGTTTTATTATGTTCAACACCCATTTCGGCATATCTGGAATGCTTTCCCATGCCGCTGCATGCACAGATACGCGCGCTGAGCAGCTGAGTGTATGGGCGCGTGTGTGATTACAACAGCGCGCGCTGTGTCTGTAACGCTCGCAGCCTGAGCTGGGGCTGGGTTTGACACTGTAGGGACAGTGCTTATAAGTGGGGGTCCATAAACAGTGGTAGGCACACGCGTCACCTTTATAATGTTTCCCGCTTTTACTGGGGATGAATTTATAACCGTGTGAACAGTGCTTGTGTGTAGTGGTGCGTACATGACCGTAGGCACGTGATCTACATTTATGGGGCGTCCAGCCTGAGCTGCGAATGAATTTGGCACTGTTTTGACAGTTTCTGGGAATGCACACTTTGTGGACATGTGAACCCTTAGTGACACAGGCAGAAAATGACTCTTTGTGATTTCTGTGTGTCGCCGTAAAAACGGCGTTTGTTTGCTGGTGAGCGAGCTCTGTGACTGGCCCATTGGCTGCTGTATGGACATTTCCAGCCGCCTGTGAGGGGACTGGGTAATGTTTGTGACTTTGCAGAGAGAGTGGTCCGGCTTTTGCGAGACACGCACTCTCTCTTTTTCTTCCAATGGCTAGGAAGGCTTACGAGGCTCAGGGTTCAGCGCAATCTTGGGCCGAGGTCCCCGTCGCTCAGAAGGCGGCTTGCGGCTGTGGGAACGCGAGCGGCGTCGAGCGTCAGTCTGAGGTGCGGGCTGAGAGGCGGTGGGGGCTGTTCTAGCCCGCTGCGGCTGCGACGGTCTCTGTCTGCTCTGTGATGAGCTGGAGCGCTTGGGCAGAAAATGGCGCATAGCTTGTGAAGCGTTCTGGGCTTCAGTGAAGCGTTCGGCGAAACCCTTAACTGCCGGTCCAAACAGCCCGCTGGTGGAGATAGGCGCGTCGAGAAACGGGGCCTTATCTGCGTCCTTCATCTCACTCAAAGTCAGCCACAGATGGCGCTCGAGAACAGTCAAACTAGCCATGGCGCGGCCAATAGACTGGGCGGTGGCCTTCGTGGCTCGCAGGGCTATGTCAGTTGCGCTGCGTAGGTCCTTGAACGCTTCGGGTTCGGGGCCAGACTCATCCAGGGAGCGGAGAAGCTTGGCTTGGAACACTTGAAGTACCACCATTGAATGAAGCGCTGACACAGCTTGGCCGGCGGCGGCGTAAGCGCGACCGGCGAGAGCAGAAGTAGTGCGGCAGGGCTTCGAGGGGTGGGAAGCCTTGGCTTTCCATCCAGTGGTGGAGGGCGGGCAGAGATGATTGGCCACGGCCTCCTCGAGGGGCGGCGTTCCTTTGTAGCCTCTTTCACAGAGGAGAGCGAAGAAGAAAAAGAAGGCTTCAAGCGTGCAGAGTGCGGGGGTTTCCATGACTTAGTGAGTTCGTCATGGACTTCCGGGAAGAAAGGCCTTTGCCGAGGGGCCTGTTGGCGCCCCTGCAGAAACCACTCGTCCAGTCATCAGATGCAGCGTCAATGGATAAGCTGTCATCTCCTCCCCCGTCGTCCTCGGACGCGCCGAAAGTCACAAGGCCCACCGCTCTGTTGGAGGGGTGTTGGTCCGACTGAGTGAATTGAACCGGCGGTGGGGAAGTCAAGAGCGGCGGTGAAGCACGCGGAGACTGGCTCGGCGTGACGTCACTGAGCTCAGGTTCAGGAAGCCTTTGTGAGCGGCGCTTTTTCTTTTTGCGCGGCTCAAACAAAGGGATGGAGGCGGTGGGCTCGCTCACGGCGAAGGCGGCGAGCGCGTAGTGCGGAGAGACCCAGGTCGTCACATTCAGGGCATCCGCCCTTGGTCAAGGCAGCTTCTGCATGGTCCCGGCCCAGGCAGCGAGCGCGGATGATGTGACGATCCCCGTCCGGGAGAAGGTCTCTACACGATGCGCAGGAAGGCATTTGAAACACCGCCTTAGAAATTTGCTCTTTTACGAACGTCGCAGGGCGAACAGCTGTAAAAGGATACTTGCGTGCGTAGCGCGCCGGATGGCTCAGTAGGATGGCGTTCGAAGGCGGCTGAAGGTGCCGACGTCCTCGTAGCAATCCCGCTGGTGTGCTTTTCCACGGCGGCGAAGACTTTCAACAATCCGGAGGATCCAGCGAAGAAGGTGTTCGCTGAAGGAGATTAAATCTAAAGAACTCCCATGACGGGGCGCCCAATATATAGCTCTTGGCCACGCCCATCCTGGCGGGCTCTGACGCCCCGTCATTGGTTCGAGCAAGTTGCCGCAGCACAGCCAATGACCGAGCTGCCTCGCTCATTGCTGTCTGCTGTGCAGCTGCAATGCGTTTTACATAAAGACTTCAATATTTCTCGAGAAAGGAGTTTTCCCATAGTGTAAGCTACTTACGCAATAGGAGAGACCTCTCGAAAGGGAACAAAAACCCGCTGCTTTTTTCCGTGCTCCAATTCCCCCCCTCTCATTGGCTGATAGTCCATACACCCAACTCAATGGAACAACTCATTGGTTAGCATTCAAAATACTTCAGAATACAATTTTATAATTGTCTTATACAAATAAAAATAAATAAAAATTACAATATATTGAAATCAATGTGTACAAATATATTCACAGTGTTACATTTATAAAGGATTAATTCTGCAGCTTTTGTGCTCTTCAAATTGACTCACAACAGTGCATTATATTCCTCTTTCAGACCAGAAGCATGTGTCTAGCTTCGCTCCTGAAGTACAGCCCACGAACACTAAAGCGCATCAAGAATTTGATCCAGGGGAAGCAGGCCTACATGATTGGCGGTGTCACCCACATTGATGACCTGGCTGTGGCAGATGAGCTAGAAGTTCCTCTTCTGGGCACAGAGCCTGCGGTGGCCCAGTTATACGGCACTAAATCTGGAGGAAGAAGGATCTTCAGTAGCGCAGGAGTCGATGTGCCTCCTGGAAAGTGGGATATATACACCCTGGAGCAGGTCAGTGAACCATCCGTCCATCTGTCCGTCCATCTATGATATAATATTAAGAGTAATTCATATGTCTCTCTCAAAGCTTTATGAAGGTCTGGCCCAGTTGATGACAGAACACATGGAAGTCCAGCGATGGCTCTTCAAGATAGATAGCGAAGTGGGTGGACGGGGAACGGCTTATTGTGACGTCAGCTACCTAAAATGCCGCCCATGGGCACAGCAGGAGTTTATCCGCCACGGGCCTAAACAGTGGAGAACGTCACTCCCTCAAGTAAGGGTAGGACTGCTTTATTTTTAACTTTAAATAACCTTCAGTTATACGATTGGATTATTTGTTGTTGTTGTTGTTGTTGTTGTTGAGAAAGGATACATTTTAATATTTATATTGTATTATTATTCATTATTTTAATTATGTTTCATTTAATTATAGTTTTCAGGATAATTTATACACATCATATTTGATCTTTTTTTACATTTAATTTAAATTGAATATACCGGTAAGTTCCTTGAACTATTTCAGTTCTAAAATACCGTAATGTGTTAGCATTATGTTTAATAAATCCTTAATACAATAGTGATAATACTAAACATTTCACACAAAAAAAACAAAGTTTTGGTAAGGCTGGGTAGATGCCAGTGATTTTGCCTTTAAAATGAATAAAATAAATCTGTTGAGAACATTTGTTCTGATTTGTCCTAAACGCAGACCATTCAAATGCACAGTCTGCATGAGTGCGTGCCTATTGTGCAACAGTAGCACTTTAGAAGTATCAAGTGGCTTGTTTTTTTAAATGCAAAATGAAATGTGCCATTTCTTTTATTTTGCAAATGCAGCTACACTTCAGTCACAAGCGTTGTTCATTAGAATTTCCGCTTTGCCTGGTTTTTATATTTATATTCTGTACAAAATGCACTCTTGTCTCAATGGCAAGCCTGTCATTATTGACCAAGGCCAAACTTTGATGCCATGAGAGTGCTTATGACTCAAATACATGGGAAATTAATAATGAGTCTTGAGAATGAGAATTTTAGCATATTTATGTATTCTAATTCAAATGTGATGTATTCAACACTCTGTTGTGTTTTTTAAAAAACACATCAGTTTTATCCGCCGGTAATCATGTTCATAACCCTCTCCTCGATAATTTGGCCCTTGATTTAAATACAGTGTTTTGCCATTACACCGTGAGCTTTGTATAAACTAATTACAGGGTTATCATCATACGATGCTGTGTGCAAAATCAGACCTAGCTTTTTTTTTTCTTTCTTTTTTTTTATTCCAGCCTTTTATTGTAACCTTCTATCCCGGGGGCAATAGGAGGCCACGTGTCCAACCTCCAAGCTATTAGCTCAGTCCCTAATTTACACTGAGGCCGAGAGAGGAATCTGGGGCTGTAATTGTAGTGGCATTGGCGCTGTTAATTACAGAGGTAAGCGGTTGAGGCCCAGCCAAGCTCCATTATGGTGATGGCGGTGAAGGAGCTTTAAATGGGGGCTCTTCACCAGCTGGGGTCCCAGTGAGAGGAGAGGGAGCTGGGGCCTGATGAGCTGGCCTGCACCCTTAGGGCTTCTGGGCCATATGGAAGCCAGTACGGGCCTTTATTCTACCTCTTCAACCTTTTTAATCAATGGCAAGCTCTGCTAACAGAATGGAGAGCACAGAGGTTATTTCAGCGTGTCATTCATTTTCTACAAATCTGTATTCACTCTTTTAGTGCCAATTTTGCCATTCTGCAGCACCCCTCATAACTGATTTTTGCTAAATGCTCACTGTTCTGTTTACGGTTGCGTATTTGCATGTCATTCGTTTTATTTATCTTTTTGTCATGCTCATTGCACTTTATTACTCAAGCTAATAAATTCAGCAACAAATGTGGAAATATTGTAGAGCAGATTTATCAGTGTAATGTTTTAATTGCAGTAGGTAATAAAGGGTAAATATTGCCTTTTGTTCTTTAAGTACAAAACATTTGTATGTATGATGCCTGCTACATATTTGCAATTAAATTTTTTAAAACGTCCATTTGAAGGACCAGAAAACTATTATAATGATTTTGTAATTATCAGAACACAATTATCAGTGCTCAGTGGCTTCACATAAGTTTTGCGTTTGGCTTTATTTATAGGAGTCATAGGAGTTTAAATGCTATTTTGCTTCTCTAGGGAGCTGTTTTTAGTATAATGCATCCTTTAATTTCCCCCGTCAAGCCCGGGTCTATGGTGAGCTCCCCCTCTATTTACCCTATTTACTGTGTGCACATTGTTTAATTATTGATTCTGTAAGGAGCCTTTTCTAATGCAAGGGGAAGAATACAAGAACCCATGTGGCCCTATAGAGGAACAGCCACAGAGATAAGTGTGAAAACAGACCTAGAGGCAGTGTGAAGAAAGACTGTGTGATTCTTTGCAGTTTGTTTAGGAGGCCCAAACCCAGAGGGGTGTTTCAGCCCGGGGCGAGCCTATCAGCTATTCAGAGAAGATGGGTTAAAGACATGCGGATCTCACTCTATTCAACGGCTGGGTGGACCCGTACACGCAACACTTTACACATTACAAACATGCACGTTCTGCCAGTACATGGGTCATTAGACACGAGGGAGCATTATACTAATAGCATCAACAGATAGACAGATTGTCTCCTACTTATTTTATTCAATGCATGTGGGATTACGTGTTGTACCATGTTTATTTTATTAGATATTGAATGTAACGACACTTTCTGTATTCCCCTTTGGTTAATGTTGCGTTTGGGAAGTAATCCGCAAATATGTCCATATAATAACCAGGCTTTATTTTCAAACCCATTCAAAATGTCCATTTACCTGATATCATCACTTTATATTTGTATTTTATATTTGTATGTCTAACATCTCATGTATATGAAAGTTATATCAGATGGCTTACGAAGAAAAAAAAAACACACACAAAAAAAAATATCTGAAGAATGTTTCACTTGTTTTTGTCCATATAATGAAAGTCAATGGGGTCCAAAACAACATTGGACCCAACTGCATGACATTGCGTGGACAAAAAACAGTAAGACATTTTTCAAAATATCTACTTTTTGGTTCCACAGAACAAAGACAGGTTTGTAATGACATGAAAATGTACTAGATTATGGCAGAGTGCTCATTTTCAAGTGAAATATCCCTTTAAGGAAAGCTTTGAAAAAGCCCCATATCCCTCTTAGGAGGTATGCTGTTGAATATGCTTGCAACTGCAATGTCACTCTTTCTAATGTAGAGATCAAACAGCAATCAAAGCACACAGGAGACATTTATTTTATTTATATAGTTTCAAATAGCTCATCTTTATGTGGAAGCCAAGCAAGGCCCGAATCCTCTCTCACAGTACAGTTCGCAGTTTAAGTCCAAATAAAGAATGGCAAAAATGATTCCCTCTCGCTTTCCTTCCCTCCCCGCTGTTTGTGTGAAGTGCATTGGCAAATTCTCAGAGCGTGCCTGCTCTTTCGCGGGGAACGAAGGCCGTTTCCTTACACTTTTTGCCGCACCATTGTGTGCTTTATGGCTTGTGTCGGGGGTGAAATCACTGCGCAGCGATTGACCCTGGCTCTTCTGGTACTTGAATATGATGATGGCTGTTTCATGACTTGAATATCAACAGCATCATATCTCCGCATCTTGAAACTTCTTCAGTGATGTCAGTGGTCACATATGTTTGAATATTATAAATGTACTTGAAAAGGTTATAGACTTAATGGAGATTGAAAATAATTCATCCTTACCATCTTCTAGAGCACAACCTGCACTTCTCAAGGTTGTTAAACGGGACCTATTGACTTATTATATGCGCTTTAAGAATGAAAAGGATATTTCATTAAATAGTTTCCCACCAAAATGATTCTTTATCCTTTTATGTTGTGCTTAAGTAAAAACTGTTTTCTATCTCATTGCAGTAGGAAGTACATAAATTATGTACTTAATGTGCTTGTGGTGGCTGTCCTTAAGTGCTCGGTCCATTCTTCTCAGTTTTGAGAGGTCCTTAAGGTGATATTCTTTATCTTACTAACCAACAGGTTTTAAGAGGCACTCCTGGAAAGTCAAACATTGCAATTAACAACATAATTAAGTGTCAAAGCCATTATGGTGTTTTCTAGTTACAGAAACAAGGGCTGTATTGATCAGAAACAGACCCTGATTGATCTCTTGATCGATTGGCTTGCATAGGTATTTATCTGCCAGCATGTGTCAGTTCTTATTGGGGACAGGTGCAGTTACTATTGCCTTCAGTTAAAGCTATTAGACTACTGTGATGCCGTGGCAATGGGCTGTCAATCAAAGTCCCCCACCCCCATACACAACCACCTTCTGTGCTTTTGTAAGGCATGTCAAATTAAGACACACTTCAGTAGTTACTGCTTCATCAGGGGTATCGACACTATGTAGTGCTATATGTTTTTTTTTTTACATCAGACCCAGACACCATGGTCAGAAATTGCTTAATGACGTAAATTGAGATATTAGTTTTATTTAGGTCGTTCTTTGGAGCTTGGAGGATTTTCAGTATGACCGACTTTGCTTTTATCTTTTATTTTTTGGTGCAGGAGCCGGTCATGATCAAGTTCTTAGAGGAAGTTCCTCATCTTCTGGCGTCATATGCCCGGCCGGCCAACACATCCTGCTATACTACATGGACCTGTTTCTTAGAACACTTCCTCAGGGAAGGTAAGTTTGCAAAGTACCTCAAACCTGTCAGATCAGACACTTTCTCTTTGTACACTCTTACATTCCAACACCTTTTTTTGGTTAATTACATTCATCTTCTTTTTGGAATTTTCAGTGTGAACACATTACTCATACTATTTATACTACAAAATGGCATTGAATAGTACAAATTGGGAAGCGCCTTTAGTGTGAAGAACATTTTAATATTCTAAAGAACCTTTTTTTTCCACTATAAAGAACCTTTTGAGCCATGGAAAGTTTCCACTGATGTTAAAGGTTCTTTATTGGCATCTGTGGTTCCATGAAGAACCTTTATTTTTGAGAGTGTATCCATCTCCTTCCTCAGGTGGAGTGATAGAAGCCTTCCCTCCTTCGGATAGTGTGACATGTCTGACGGTGGATCTTCTGGTGGAGCCGGGTGGAGATGTGCACATGCTGTCCTGTGGAGATCAACTGCGTGGGCCCAGTGGGTTGGAAGTGGTGGGCTGCACTGTACCCCAGTCCTCCATCTGCCCTGACGTCCTGCACACTATCTGCAATAGTATAGGACAGGCCTGTCAGCAGCGCTTCATCATGGGACACCTCTCCATAGATCTAGTCACCTTTCTGGATCCCAGCAACCTGGAACAGCAGGTTAGAGAACCAACTAAGTCTTTAAAACACTTCTCAATATGAACCACTTTATATTTACACTACCTTTTTAAATATTTGGGCTCAGTAAGATTTAGAGTAAGAATACTTTTATTCAGCAAGGATGCATTAATTATTTTTTTTTACATTACGAAATAAATTGTAATGCAAAAATGTACGTTACAAAATGTTTTATTTAAAATAAATGCTGTTTTAAAGATTGATAATAATAAGAAATGTTTCTTGAGCTCTAAATTACCATATTAGAATGATTTTTGAAGGATCGTGTGACACTGAAGACTGAAGCAAGGGCTTCTGAATATTCAGCTTCGCCATCACAGGAATAAATTACGTTTTAAACTTGATTAAAATCGAAAACAGGTATTTTAATTTGTAATAATATTTCACAATATAACTGTTTTACTCTATTTCAGATAAAATAAATGCTGCCTTGGTGAACATAAGATACTTTTTTTAATTGAATGGTAGTGTATATTTTATATATATTCTATTTTTTATATTTTTATACTTTACAGATATGAAGCATTATAAAAGTAGTCACGTTAATGTACAATTGAGTATGAATATAGATAAGATTAAGGTTAAATGTATAGGTATGACATTTCCATTCATAGTACAGTAGACTATATGCTTTTGAAACTATTATACATTATGTAACATATCCACTTTAATCAGACAAAGAAAGCGGTTATCCAAAGAAAATTGGTATACGTTTTTATTAGTACAGTTTTCTGGAATCAAACCCACAACCTTGGTATTGCTAGCGCCATGTTCTTCCATTTGAGATACAGGAACAATGGAAGCACTCAGCTCTATCTATCTTTCATCAAACAAGCTCGCTCAGAAACAAATTGACCCTTAAATGTCAGTGGTGTGTTTTACAGCTCTATGAAAACAGAACCTGCCATGTTAAGAAGCTGTTGAAAATGATATGGGATCTGACATGTGGCACTGTTCTGTCAGAGCACGTAACACCGTTCTCACCTTATAGAATATAGATAGTGTGAGGGTTCAATCTACTGGCCCGGGGCTCTTATTGAGATGTTATAAGATCACTCCTAGGTTCCCCTTAGGAGCTGTACAGATGAGACAATGAAGGGTGGCTAATGTGCCAAAAGGCAATCTAATAAACTGTCAGGTCTTATTGTGTCAATAAACTAATTCGCCTTTTAAGGCCTTGCCCCCTGACCTTACAACACCCCAGCTATGTACTGGTGTCAGACAGGAGGTCAGGCTGGAGTGTCTTTTCCTCAGACGTTGGGGTTCTTGGTCACTGTCGAAGACAGATCGAACAATGTGGTGTTTTCTCTAGCACAATAAATAGAAAAAGAACATTTTGGCTTGCTTATTTGCAAGATTCTCCCCATCTTTTTTCAATATCTGCAAAAAATACAGTAAGACACTACATTGAGTTGATTTTACGGACTATGTACTTTAATGTACTTTTAAAAATTAATATACCGGTATGCAGTTATCTAAAGAGCTTTTTATACCTGCATAAGCTAATAGGTTTTAAACAGTTCATGTAGACCTCATGAAGCTCATTTTTAAGGTTACCTAAATAAACATTTGTTACAGTGCTGAGACACCCCTAACAGTAGGAGGCTAACTAACTAGCATTCCTTGCGTTTCAGACCGTGCATGGTTTGCTTTGCATCTCTGCCAAATGACATGACAACTGAAAAATCTCTGTGGGTGAAAAGGGAGGGGATACATTAAAATAAATTTAAGTCTAATGTGGAAAAAATGAAATGGATTTGACCTCACTGACCTTACTGTGTTAGATATTGAGTTAGTCATTTTTCAAAACTTGTGTTTCTAAATCTAGGTCTGTTTATTAAGTCATGGGATGTTAATATCCCCTGTGGAAATGTTATACATAGTGCAAATGATTAGTGAGCAAAGGAGTGATTATATAACTAGGCAACATGATGCATAATTAATTAGAGTACTGTGATTTTTATCAATGATTCTTGCTGGCAGGCCTAAGATGGAAATGTGTCTTGTCACATTGTTCTTTTAGCGATCCAATTTCCACTGCCACTAGAGGGTGTCAGAACACACTCACATTGAATTCACTATATCGATCACTATTTCAAAAAGAAAACCTATTCTTAGTTGTTCTTACTGTTGAAGGGCCTGTCTGGAGATGGACAGTGGTTTTGGTGTAAGCCAAATCCTAGTGTTCTAATCACTCATGTATGTGCTTGAAATGTTAGAGCTCAGAAAAATAGCTTATGACATTTACTTAACACAGTGAAAGCCTGGAGCCCCCTTTGAGTCAGTGGTTGATTTTTACAGCTACTTATGCACATACTATTTATCACTCTGAAAGGGTTGGTCTAGTATGAAATGCTATAGAACAGATATATTTTCAAATGAATGTCATATACCGCTGTTTTAATCATCGACTCAGTTGGCATGCTGTGATTTTAAAATAGATGATTGACTTTGGAAGGCAGAGAACAGCAGATTTTTTTAGATAAATTACTCATGGAGGTGGAATATACTTTTCCACAGAAAATCTCACACTTGAATCTCATATACACTCCCGATAGAATGCCATTTAGTCCTGCAAATGAAAGTAATTCCTACATTCTTCTGATTGAATAGCACCAGGATTCTCTATATTGTGAATTCACAGAGGCACGGGATGAATTTTATTCAGCGTGTCTTACTGAGAATAAACTGCACACACAATTAAAACTGACAAAAGGAATTCAGGCAGATAAATCCAAACATCACTGTCCGATCTCTCCTGGCACAGAGGCAGACAGATCTGCCAGACTAGTGCTAACCTGTCTCTATTTAAACATCAATTTACATTTAAACCTGTTGCTAAAAGCAGTCTGTATTTTTTGTATGTGTGGGGGAGAGGTGGGTCGCATGTGTTTGCCCTTGCAGGCTTGCCTCACATTGTGTGCGGAGGGAGGCTCAGCTGCAAGATTGCAGTTTTTAATGAAAGTGAAGGGGCTATAGAAGACAGGTACAATCTGGGCGTATATATCAAGCGCCTTTGTTGAGGTTGACAATGAAGCAGGCTTGGCTGATTCTACAGACTGGCTAAATGGTCCCACCTATCCCACAAGCACAGGTATTAAGTATGACTACTGGATGAATTCAGCTCTATACTCTATACTGAGTCCGGAGTCCAGTTTTCAAAGGTCATTGCTTTACTTGATTCCTTTACAAGGGCTTATTTCGGACAGGGATTTGTGCTTAGTCTTTAAAGAGCTTTAAATTTGTATGAATTAACTACTTTCGCAAGCAAAAAAATTAACTGTGATGACATCATAACATTTCTTATTATATACTGTAGCTACAACACAAAGGAATATTTTTTTTTTCTGGACAAAATCAACAGATATGAAATAATTAATCCTTTATTTTCTTTCTTTTTAGTAGTTATTATATACTGAAATTAATTTGTGCTTGCAATTGAATTAAAGCCGGTGTAAGATGATGATTCAGCGCACTGTATATTTCTGCATGTGAACGTTGAGCACAATACTGTGATCAGAAAGTGATTTCAGCAGCCGGGCCACCATTTGCATTTGCTGGCAGCAGCGTTTAGGTTGACAAATAGGGACGACAGGAGAGTCAGCCAACTGCCACTTAGTTATTAACAACTCCTTCAGTGGTGATTTATTTGCCACTTTTTGAAGAGAGGGCATAGCTATTAGATTATTATCAGGGAAAATTAGCCCTGTTTAAGCATAAGGCCACGACTGGGCCTGACCCCTTAATATCCTTATAATGATGCCATTAACCATACAGATGTGAAGAGTCTCCAGTTGGGCTTTAGACACAGTATGTAACACACTCTCTCTCTCTCTCTCTCTCTCTCTCTCTCTCTCTCTCTCTCTCTCTCTCTCTCTCTCTCTCTCATACACACACGTCTGTTGAATCTGAGCTCTGTTTTTTCCCCCTGCAAATACAGTTATTCATCTGTCTGTTTGTTGTGAAATTTTTGTCATTGTCTACTTGCTGTTTGAAAATAAGCGAATAGTTACGTTGATTTATGTGTTGGACCTCCAGACTTGTCTGTGTATGCTGGTTTGTACTGTATTTAGGTATGGGCTATTGATCTTGACCTGGGCTACAGTAACCAGCTGGCTATGACCCAGCTGATGCTCATGATGACGAGAGGGACGCTGGACTGCCACACCAGTAAACTAGAGGTTTCCCCTTTAGTCAGAGATGTGAAGTCTTCCGTACGCCATGCTGGAATAAAGATCAGAGCTGTAAGAATCTCTAATTTCAAGTAAAGTATCCACTCACTCTATTGGCATTAAGAAGATGTGATTGTTATATACTGGATTTGAAATATGGTATAAAAACATTTGTCAGATATTCAAGACTTTATTTTGGAATAGTTTAGTAATAACCTCATAGAGATCAAAAATGAACAAATCTGTTATTTATTCACCGTTATGTTGTTCTAAACCTACTATACCATTCAAAAGGGGATGGTAATATAGCAAGAGAGTTCAAATGTTAATTTCCTTTGTTTTCTCAGAGAGTAGCCCTCTCTTCCAGTTCTTCCAGTCTTACAATTTCTTACCAAATTCTTTTTTTTTTTTTTTTTTTATCGTGGTATATATGACTTTCTTTCTTCTGTGGAAGCACAAGTTTTAATGTTGCCATTCTCATCCATACAATAAAAGTGGACGGAAACTATGGGCTGTCAAAAATGCATCATAAAAGCAGTGTATGCAACTTGTGTGTTTTATTCCAAATCTTCTTCAGCCGTATGATAGTGTGAGGAAAAGACTGAAATTGAAGTCATTATTCACTGAAAGTTTTGTCTCGACAGCCGTGGTCACCATTCACTTTCATTACATGGAAAAGGGCAGCTTGTACATCCTGCTATAAATAACAATCATTTTATTTTCACAGTAGAAAGAAAGTCCTATGGGCCATGAGGGTGAGTAAATATGACAGAATTTTCTTTCTTTTTTTTCGGTGAACTATCACTTTAAAGGTTAATGCTAAACACTTTGGAATGCTTTTAGCTCTTTAAAGCACAAGAATGCCATTATCCAGAATGTGTTCCTTGAGACTGGACCAAAGAGCAATAAGAGTCCTCTGCTGGATATTATCCCGATAAATCACTGCATCCATAAAGATTGATCCAGCTAAGCTTTGTTGTTTTATTTTGGTTAAATACAACTAAACGCTGTAATTACGCTTCCGACCTGATTGGTGTTTAGAAGAAGCTGAATTCATTATCATTTTGATAGATGAGTCTAAATAATCAGCCCATAAATAATGCATACCATATTCATTATGCATGTGTATGCATGCCTGAGCACCTCATCAACCTGATGCCAGCCCCTAAACAATAGAGTTCCTTTATTAGCGGCAAACCGGAGTTTACGCTTGTTAATCTGCGACTTGTATTATTTTATCAAACATTCATTTGGTTTGTATGCCCTCATATCGCCCGGCTCCCGCCTGCCTGTCTTAATGGCTCCGGCTTTGGCCATCATTTAAACCTAGAATATTACAAACACAATTAAAACCCTGCAGGAAAAGCTTTTTATTGTTGTTTGAGGATAGTGTGCCTGACAGCTGAAAACAGAGTTCCATAGAAGGGAATTACTCATGCCCCGCACACCGTGCAAGGGCTTTACCCTCCGCTTCATATCTGTCACTGAGAATATGCCTCATGCCCGCTACGAGTCCTGCGAGTCCTGCCACTCTTAACTAATCCGCTCCTGTGGCGTTCTTTTAGACACATCTTTTATCTGCCGTGTCTGTGAGCATCGTTGGGTTTTATAGGAAACCTTTCTGTTTTCTGCAGCGGTATAACCTAATAACACCGGACTCGGTCTCCCCAGTGCCCTCTTTGACTGTGAAACTAAAGCCCCCTTTCTCCATGCGGGCTTTCGAAACTCTTCTATTTGTTTCTAGTGTGGCGGTTATTGCCATCCCCGAGAGGTCAATTTATCATTTAGATGTACTGGTCAATTTTTTAGCAACAGAATCACATGCAATTTCTTGTCTAACTCTGTGTGTACCGTATGTGCTCTTCTCAGCAAACCTCCGTGACCAGTCGCTTTGCAGTGATGTGCACCCGACTTCTCCACACCAATCTTTCTTTGGTATATTACAGCACATTTTTTCTGATGTGCAAAGCGCAGGGCATAGGCTATGATGTCAAGGTATAACCTCTCCCATTAATACAACTGGTGTTCTTTGATTGCAGAGCAAGTGTTTTTATATACTTCTGCTAATGTTTCAGGCAAGGCAAGGCACTGTGTTCGCCCCCCATGACAGCAGAGATAGAAGGAGTCTTGGCATGCTGTGAGTTCCCACATGAAGCAGGCAGACGCATAACCCTTGTCTTTCTCCAGCTTTGTTTTCCCTTCTTCTGTCCCCATTACCATTAGAGATATATCTAGACCTTGAGCACACTCCCAAGAGCAGATTAAACATTATGTAGTGAATACCTCAACCTGAAATGTGTCAGAGTGCAAAATACTGCCAAGTCGAATTAAAAGCATTTGTCACATAAATCCTATACCCATCACATCGAAGCCCTGCTCTCCTTCCTCATTTCTCCCTAAAGAATAGCACACTCTTTAAGGCTGAGAGTTCTCATTAAGCTCCTTACAGCCCCACAGCCAAACAAGGTGATTGTTTTTTTGTTTTTCTCTGATGATGGTTCTGGGGGATCATTAGTAAGCTCGTTTGTTTCTGTGTGTCGTTAACAGAACAATCTCGGAGAATCTCCAGGGAGCACTGCTGACCTTTGCTCGCAACCTGTCAGTCATTCATCAGGAAATATCAGCTCCAAATATGCAAGGAGAAAACAATTTTAAGGTATGCGGATGTATTTTTTGGACCCTGCGCTTAAAAGTCCTTATGCTAATGGGATATTCTCTGCTTCACTTTAGTCATCAAAAAACACTATAGATGTTTCACGTTCAAGTCATGTATCTACAAACTAGGACAGAAATCACAAGGATTTTTGACAGTTTCACCTATTAAAAATAATGGTTTTAGAGACTTTACAAAGACAAAGAATGACCTGACAAACAAATAATTAACAAAAATATATCCACAACACAGCAGTAAGTATCAGTCACTCAGTAGAGGAGTCCACTACTCCACTATTTACTCCAAAAGGCTCTGCAAAACCTTAATGTAATGCTAGTAATAATAAACGTCATGCTTCAAATTGAGTTATGACACAACAATTGTCAGCATATTACTTTTGGCAAATGGTGAGTATACAGGCCCATAGTGAAAAACAGGTTTACAGTTTGCACAAAAATATGTCACAATTTTGTCTAAGCATGTTATTCTAAAAAAATATATATTGTCCGTATTATAACTAAACTAAAGTTTATTATTAAACTATCATTATACCAAAGTTTCACTGAGACATTTTGTGGTAAAGAGAAGTGAACTGGTCAATCTCAGATGAGAAAATTTTACTTGAGCACATTTATTTTTGAAAAAGCATGCCACTTGCCTGTCATATTAACATTTTATACAATACACAAGTTATGCATTTATTAAAGTGAAGGCTGTATCTCTGACCACTATCTGCAGCTGAAGTCATACAAATGTAGAACACTGTGGACATTGTGAGTGAATTGGAGATTCTTTGACACTTGCTGAATTACTGCATTCAACACACTATTACTTAATTTGATGGAATTCTTATTCACTGTTCAGTGGTTAGAGGTTAAGATCTGTTGTCAGACATATACTGAATGTCTGCTATTGTTTGCTTTTATAAGGAACTTATCAAGGACATCGAGGAGATCCTGGGCATGACCATACAAAACCAAACCACATCTCAAGAAGAAAAGGAGATTCCTGCAGTCGGAAGCGAACAGTTATCACCTCATAAACCACACAGATCAACCCCAAATAAATCAACATAGTTATACCATATCATCAAAAGCATTTGCACATTCAGTTATAAATTGCTGTCAAGAAACATTTCTACAGAACTTAGTTATATAATACATACTGTAACATTTCATCCATGGCCTTTTTAGGTTTCATTTTTATAGTGATCTAAAATGTTGTGCAATTTTTTTGTTTTTGTTTGTAAAGATTAACAATGCGAAAAGGATGTGCCATTCATGACATTTTCCTAGCTCATCATAGGGTGAGACTACAACTGGGGATAGTTGCTTAATTCGTTCCGCCTTGAATTATGTTCCAGGAACACAAAACATAACTTTGCATTAAATCTTCTTTAAAATTATAATCACTAAAAAATAAGCAGTTTTTGATAGTTTTTTAAATAGGTACTATACATTATAAATGTAAATCTATATTGTGCATTTACTGTTAGAATGTATTGTATAACTAATGCTATATTACTATATTGTATTTTATGTTTAATTCCAATTGTGAATGGAAGTTAAGTGCGCATGAGAATAAAGATCCATGACACTATACACACTGCTATGCTAGAGCAAATGGGAACAAAAAAAGCGCTTGGTTGTTTCTTCCCGGAGAAGATATGTATCGTACCACTGAAGGTTATATTGAACGCATCATAATTTCTGCGAAAAACTAACATATTAATCGTACTTTCGTCCAGGTAACAATATAAATGATTGTCAGACGAGTTTTAAAGCCGCTCCGGTAAGTTGTGTAACGTTAGCCTTTACTGACAACCGAAACGGGACTAGGATTCAAGATCACAGAATGTTTAGGCGATACTTTTGTACTGACTAAAAGTCACAAAGCTAGCTGTTAGTTGGGGTTTGATGCTCTTTATTTCTCGTGGCTTTGTAAGCTGTCACGTTGCTTAATTTATTTTTCATGACGAAATAATGATGTGACGCACCAACAGAAGCTCTTGAAATATTAGACTTGAGGGTTTACTCAGAAATGACAGAAATTCTGCGGATAATCCACAGCGGCTTTCTAAAAGTGGTGTTGTTCCCCAGCACCTTTGGGAATAAAGCGCTTCGTCCTGCCGCCTCTGAAGTATTAACATGTCACCTCACGCAGCGCGCACTCCCGCCCTGGACCTCGTTCTGCGTGCGCTACCGTGACGTCATCAATGACCAGTTCGGTCTGTCCAACTTCAACTGGCAGGTGCAGGGAGCGAACTACCACATCCTTAGAACTGGTGCTTTCCCTTTCATCAAATACCACTGCACCAAAGCACCTCCTCAGAACCTGGAGTTTGAAAATAGTTTTTTTGCTGCATTGAAAGTCGTTAATCTTGGTAAGTTTTAATGGGCTACACGTTTTATCTGATATTTAAAAAAAATAAAGGCATTTATGTTTTTCCTCTCTTTCTTCAAGGTATCCCATGCTTGGCATATGGCTTGGGTTCATGGATGGTAGTTGGTGTGACAGAGAAGGTTCAGACATCTGCAGGACCTGTCACCGTTTACTTTGCGTACAAGGAGGTGGACGGTGCTCAGTTCTAATATTCTACTATTTGAAAATGACTTGAGTTTCACAGGCCAATATTTGTCATACAGTATGCAAATGCCCTGGAATCCACTTTTGCATTGTATGAAATGCCCTGGAATGCACTTTTGCACAAAAAAAAATAAAATGATTAATTTTCAACTTCTGAGTTTTCTTTTCAGTATAACAATTTGTATTGATTTGTAAATATCAGATTGATAACTAAAAATATAAAAAAGCATAAAAAACGTATTTCTCAATTAACATTATTTAACAATAGTATGTTTATTATTTTTATTAATAGTATTGCCTAAAATAATAAGCAAGATATTCCCCCCAAATTTTGAGTAATAATTGAAGCTTTTTAAATAACCAGTTGCATAAATAATAAAAGAGATAAAACCCACAAAAATTGAGGGGCAAAATTTAGAACCACTGATTAAAAGTTTGACCAGATTATTCAAGAACATCTTTTCTTTCCAAGGTAAAATACTTAATTACATGTCTTTTATTATTATTTATTAAATTGGTAATTGTGTTTCTCATCCGTTTGTTGCAAGTAGGCAAGCTTATTTTGAAATTTGACATTTTTGAGAAGTCTTTTTTTTTTAAAATTGATTAAATGATTTGGTCAAACATGGGATGCAGATTATTAGGCATTATTATGATGCATCTCGATGTATTCTTTGACGTTTACAAGCTATGCAACTCCTCGTTTTCCCACTTGTTTTCCTCCCTAAAGCTAATGCAGAATTTTAAATACCTTCAGCTCATTTATTTAAAGTCAAATTAGAGCCCACGCCCTGCCTGGCATATTGTCAATAGGAAGCAAGAGGGATTGTTTGGAGGACAGGTCTGATAAAATGGTTTTTAATTACAATAGAGGAAGTGTGGCCTTCGTTCAGAGCCCACCCTAACCCCCTCCCCCTGTCATTCTCGGATGCTTTGATTTCTGATAATGTGCTTTGCTGACTCCAGCTCTCTTCTGCAGGATCTTTCGTCACATTACCTCTGAGATCGGCTTTGACAAACTACCATATTGATCCTCTAGACTTCTCAAAGCTTTCTGCCGGGCACATTAATCAGAGGCCTCGATTTTCTGGCCCTGCCGCCTTCTCTCTTAGTAGCAGCAGCGATGTGATAATATCATGTATTACATGCAAATCAATAGACCTCTTGGCTCTTGTCTTGCAAATCTTAATTCCGAGTGATTTTGATTAGATTGAGCCATTGTCTGATGACTAAATCTTGTAAGAATACTGGCAGTTTCAAACCATCAGGGCTGTATTGAATTGCCAATAGCCCTTATTAAGAATTTCATCCAATTTAAACACAAATGACGTAAATGTGTTTCTTTGACTGCGTTACATACCTGCCCCCTCATTCCCAGTGTATATACAGGCAGGCAGCCCCTATATTACATCATCAGTGAGGGGGCTAATTGGCCTTAATGGAAATCATTTAGACACCCAGCGAAATCTGATCAGCACTATTAGCCTGAACGGGCTGGCTCTTCCTTTTCATCTTTGAGTGTTGAACTGCTGCATGGGGAATGCTCAGGCAAGCATGTCTTAATTCCTCATTGACTCTTTGACCTTTACCCCGTCGCTGATACTGTAGCAGACCTGGAGGAGGATTAGAGTGTCACCGCGTGGTGACAGGCCAGGCCTTTGTGGCTTTGACAGGCTGACGCGAGCCCTGAGAAACCCGAGCCGATGTCGCGGTGTTCGTGGTGTTCCTGTTTTTGGTCTGTTCCACGAGTGTGGTGCCAAGCCACAGGAGACGACATTAGTCTGAGCGGGTGCTTATCGCTTACACCTCACCTCGGTCAACGGTCTAGGATAACGGAGCAGCAAATTGGCTACTGTAAAGTAACGGAAAATTTAACGGCGTCATGTTAAGAGATCAGTGCCTTGTTTTAAGGGCCTTGCAATCAAGACTCGTGTTTGTAATTGGAGGTCTAAATTACCCTCTCTTGAATATAAGGTACTAATCAACAAAGGATTAAGCACTTGTATTAACAAGTTCAATTACATGCAAATAAAGGAGACCCAAGTTAAAATCTTTAAATACAAACACTATTTACATCTTAGGTAACTAATGAAAATGTGAAAGCGGGATATGATTGTGATATGAGGAGGGGAAATCAGAGGTACGTGGCGCATAATCTATTATTTAGCAAGAAAAATCACATTAATTTTTGGATGACATGGAGATGTATGTGTTTGGCAGAAACAATTATTGTATGAATAACCCCTGCAGCTAATTCTGTGAAGGTTATCATTGAGCTCCCAGACCAACTACAGGCTCCTGTGTCTCGCAGGGTTCTCCATCAGCAGGGGAATGTCAGCCGCATCACAGTTTGTGTCGTGTGTTTCCGTGATCTTCGTGTCAGCAGAGGTGCTGAGACAAATAGGTTTGGAATTGAACTTCTGTTGTCATAAGTCATTAAATGATGGTGACAAACCAAGGTAAGCAATTATAGCTCACTGAATCACATTCATGAGGACATCTTCAAGAATGTCAAAAATCTGCCAATGTATTAATTGCATTTGTGTCTCGTGATATTACAGTATTGGCTGCAGTCCTGAATTCTGATTAAATTCACTTTAGCGAGGAAAATGATTTTCTTATATGGAATAGGCCAGGGATCACTAGTGTAATGTCATTTCATCCCGAATGAAACCATCATGTGAATCTCTTGTAGAAAAAAATAATAATATTTATCTGTTTATTTAGCTCTTTTTGCATTATTTAAACTCACAATTAGTTGCACATGTTCAATGCACAAATGCCTTTGTATTAAGTCTATAATATATAGTAGAGGAAACTGAATGGTGGTAACAATTTTTGCTTTAATATCTCCAACTCGGATTGTTTTTTGTGCCATTTGTGTTAAACTTAAAAATAGTTTTCCCCACATTTGTCTGCAGTTAAAGTTGTCTTAAAACATTGAACTTATCTCTAAACTATGTACTTTAATGTGAAGTACAAAGAGAGTTGTAACAGTAGGTGGAAGGGGTTGTAACACTATTAGAAAACATAATGCATTTAAAGTTAAAAAAAGGGGAAAAAATAAAAATATATATATTTTAAAACCATTTGTGTGTCCACAAATATTGCAGTATCCGAAATCCTTTTCGGAAATTTTTAGGTCCCCATGAAGAAAACCGCTTATAAATGATACTATAGTTATATTATATACTATATTATAAGTAAAAGTTATTACAGTAGGCGTTTTACAGTAGGACATGGTTTTGAGTAAATGCTATATATCAAATTAAACCGGAATCGGATTCAGAGGACGATATTTTGTCATTTAATATGCATTAACCTGATCAAATTAGAATCAAGAAGTGAAATGTTGCATCTCAAAATAGTTTTTTGTCATGTAAATCCTTTATATTGACTGAGCTCAGGATAAAGGTTGTCATTTATGATGGTTATTTCATCCCCGTACTTTCCAAGTGTTGTTGTTACAACTGACCCTGTGCTACAACCATTTCTGGTCTCCCCTATATAGCCTTTGATAGTCAGTAAGTATATTTTAATGGAGATTTCATCATGTTAGCATAGCATTATCAGACTGAAAAATGAAAATGGATTTAGTGCAATTGTTAAAGCCTTAGTGATTTCTGTGTATTATAATTGCTGACCTCACACCACTGAGGCTGGAATTACTTGATGCTTTTTTCACATGCTATTGGGTGCTGAGAGTGGTTCTTATAGAGAGGGGAAAAAGCCATTAAAAATCTATTAAAGCAGATCTTTTTACCCAGAGGGGAAAGCCTTCTCATTACTAAGCAGATTGGAAGGGATGACAAGTGGCTGTATATTTCTTTTTTATTTTCCTTTCTTCTTCTTCTTCTTTTTTGAAAGACCAGCTGAAAGGCAGCATGCCCACTGTGCCAATCAGTATTGCTTCAGCTACAGGCTGCAGGTGTTTCCAGTGCTGTCAGTCATGCGAAGCACTGACCCTTTCGAGTCTGGATTCGGGCAAGTGATTCACGATTCGCGCGGAACAATTCCTCAAGGCCGCCTCTGTAGCGCTCTTTAGTTCGTGTTAAAATAAATGCAACATTAATTAATGCAGAAGTTCATTAAAAAGTTGTTCATTTGAAGTGCGGATGCTGTTATTTAGGAATGTGTGATAAAAACGTGCTTTATGTTAATGGATCATCATCTGACTGATGACACATCCGTGTAAATGTATCCCGTCTGAATTCATGTTTTCTGTTTTGATATTTTCCAACATTTAGCTTAATGCATTGTTTTTGGTTCTCCTTCCAGCTGATTACAACTTCGCTTTTGCTTCTCCCTTGGAGCTTGGAAGATGCCTCGCTCATATTTACTGTTTACAGTGTTGACATTTAGAATAATGGATACTAATGGTGTCTCCATGAATTATTGTGAGAGTTAAATGAACTCTCCATTTTATTATATATTATGCAGTATTTAAAGTTTTGGGTCATTAAAAACCAGACGGCCCCCTCCCCCCGCCCCAAGTTTGTCTTTTACCCCCTGCCAGTGTGCAGCGATGCCCTTGTTGCCACAGGCTACATCATATCTGTTCTTCAGAAAAGCATTATTACAATATTCTGAACTAATGCTTTGTTTTTGATTCTGCATTCAGATACTATTGTAGTTTTACTGGAGGAGTCTACGCTAGTCTAAGTAACCTGAGGTGCTACGACTTGTAGTATGAATCTTGTAAAGCTTGTTTCTGCGGTCCAGTCTAGCTTTCACTTTTTTGCATTGTTTTTTTGTTTTTTTTATAGGCTACACTTCTTTCACACTGATCGTCCTCTCGAATGTGTATCGCCAAAGTTCTGCTGTTCCAAGGGCACGATCTCTCCCCCTGGAGGTCAACGGCATCTACCAAAGGTCAAGGTTCAGTTGTATTCCTCTTAGAAATGTGTATGTGTGTGTGTCTGCCTTCTATACATCCATATGCATGCATTCTCATAGTTACAGCATGAATCGTGAAATTCAGTGAAATAGCCATCCGCTTTAAATACACTTTTTCAGAGAGCAAGCAGCAAAAAGCAATCTTTTACAAAGGGAAAAA